GGCCGGGCGTGGCTCAGCAGTTGACCGTTGACCTAGGATCCAGGCGATCGGGGTTTGATTCCTGGTCAGGTCACATGCCCGGGTTGTGGGCTCGATCCCCAGTCAGGGGTGTGCAGGAGGCAGCCGATCAGTGACTCTCTCATCATTGATGTTTCTATCTCTCTCTCTCCCTCTCCTTTCCTCTGAGATCAACAAAGGTATATTAAAAAAAAAAAAAAAAAAGTTCCAGAATCTTGAATAGTTATATTAATTTACAGTTGTTTTGTTCTAGTTTTCCCACTTTTTCAACACCAAAGAATAAAACAATTTACTTTCAGTAGGAAACATGCAATTGAAATTCTCATTAAGAATCTGGTGAGAGCCCTGGCTGGTGTGGCTTAGTTGGTTGGAGCGTTGTCCTGTATACCAAAAGGTTTTGGGTTCGATTCTCAGTCAGGGCACACACCTACATTGTAGGTTTGATCCCTGGTCAGGGGGTTGTGAGGAAGACAACCGATGGGTGTTTTCTCTCACATCGATGTTTCTCTCTCTCCCTTCCACCCTCTCTAAAATCAATAAACATATCCATATATCCAGGAAGGAAAAACAACAACAACCTGGTAAGATCTCATAGACAGAGAACAGACTGACAGCTGTCAGGGGGTAAGGGGGTTGCACAGCTGGATGAAAAACATGAAGAAATTAAGCAGAAACAACAATAACAAACAACTCCCCCCACAAAAAGAAAAAAAACTTATCAACACAGACAACAGGATGGTGATTACCAGAAGGAAAGGTAGGTGAGGAGAGGTAGAGGAGGGTACAGGGGGCACAAATGGTGATGGAAGGAGACTTGACTCAGGGTGGTGAACGCACAATACAATATACAGGTGATGTATTATAGAATTGTACACCTGATACCTATATAATTTTATTAACCGATGTCACCCCAATGAATTCAGTAAAACAAATAATAATAATCTAGTAAAGAAGCCAGTCCAAAGATTATTCAGGACAATCTCATAATTTTTCCCAATGTTTTATTATTCCCAGCTTTAATCACAGTGCCAAGATTCTCATGCATTCAAAGCAGCTGACACAAAATCATGTTTATCTGTCCACCTTGTCCCGACACTCTCCTTCTTCCTGATCCCCAAATGCAACCGTTAACATTTGTAAACATATCAAGCAATTTGTTTCAACAAGCAAATCTTACCTAGTGGCAGTGAAGAAATAACTGTCTGGTGGTCTTTACGATTGCTGTCCACCCCCAAGACTTCTCTGGAAAGTCTAGCATTGATTTAAAGAAAGGAAAAGTAAAAAATCAAAGCACTGTCATAAAAAAAGAAGCCTTCAAGTCCACTACCCACAATTTTGAAGTTTAAAGTTGGAATCACTGACTTACTACATAATTTCACACAATACCACTCAGTATATTAAAATAAACTAGTCCTGGATGAGATGAAATGGATTTTATCATTCAAATCATTGCCCTCTCCTAAATTCCCCCATTAAAGTCTCTCTCATTGTATGACAAACGGGTAAAGGTTAAAGGGATCATTTGACTCAACTTTAATTCCTCTCATTGCTTTTATCCTCAAAATTAAAGTTACTTCACAGAACATACATTGGCATTAGAATAGAGTGTAAACAGTTTTTGTCCATATACGTGTTTAAATAACATTATACAAAGTGTACAGAACTGTCTTACCCACTGAAACAAAATTATACTCTTAGAACTTAAAAGAGCCTATTTATTTTATGACTATATATAACTGTATGGTTAGGATACTAAATACTAGCCTTAAGTTATATTTACTAGAGAATAAAATGATCAGCTCATATAAAAGGCAAATTTCAACCAAGGGTCTTTTTCATTGTTTCAAACTTTTAAACATATATTGGTATTTTTATTAACATTCAAAATGAAACTATCCGCTGTGTCTCCTTTTTAAAAGTTGATCAAATGTATGGACAATGATAGATAGAAAAACAATTATTTCTAATCCAGGGAGTGACAGAGGCTCAAATCCCAGAATAAAAGCAAAGTGTACTTCCCCATATAAGTAATGAGGGGTGAAGTTACAGGGTCTGGGTACTTGGAACTCATTTGCGCTCGGGTTTACTAAACTTTCTATTTCTGATCAGCATCCTTTCACTCAACATCTGGCTGGTCGCTCAGGTCCCCTAATTACTTCCACGTCTGAACGGGCTACGTAGCTACAAGTAAAGGCCAAACTTTGCTCTCGGCCTTCGGAACTTAAAGACGCGCTTAACCACTAGAGGTCTCCCCTTGGCCAGTTTTGCACGTTCGCTATTTTGCTGCACTTGAAACTTTCCGGAGAAATGCTCTACTCGAGTCAGTGTTTTTCTAAAAACTTGCGCAAAAATCCACGCGACCGAGCTAAACCAGTACGGAGACTCTCGGGTTCCCAAAACCAAAAAAAGATATTACAAACAACGCTCGAGGAAAACCAAAATAAAAATTCGACGCACTCCCCCGGCGGGCGCCCCCCCCATTCTTATTTCTCATGTTTTCCTTAACTTAAACTTAGAACAATTAGAAATCTATTTTTGTTTCTGTGCACTTCGAGCGATCTCTAGTGCACTGCTCTGGCGGTAGACCCGAGGTGGTTAAGGAGCCGGCCGAGGGATGCAGGGAGGGGGAAGGGCGAGCTCGCGGCGTCCGAGGAAGTTGCATAAGGAAAGAGACTCCGTTTTTTGGGTCCCCTCAAAAAAATCGGCGGGGAGGGGGAGGAAAAGGAAGCGGTGGGGAGGGAGGGAAACCGAAGCGATGTTTACCTTCGTCTCCCCGTGGAAGGGTGGGGTGCGAGCCACGGTCTCCGCGACCCCGGAGGGCGCCGCGTTACCCCCACCTTTCTCCGAGCGCGGACGTACGAACAGACACCCCCACCCCTCCGCCGGCTGGGCGGGGAGGAAACCGCCCGCTTTTAAACTTTCTCTCACGGTCGCGCGAAGGGCCGTGCTCCGACCAGAAAGGGTGGAGGTGGGGGGAGATTATAAGGCCTTTTTTTCTTTGAAGGTAATTAAAGTT